CCAGAATTTCTTCATCGGGTGCCAGAAGGGCTCTTACTCAGTTATTTGAATTTCCTTTTTTTTTTTTCTTTTTTCTTTTTTTCTTTCTTTTTTTAAAACATACACATTTCTGAGGCTTTGAGGAGATCTTTGCTTAAAAATCTGAATACAAACAGGTGGGGTTTCGCATCAGAAAACAGTGACACTACTGTCTTTGTCTCTACCGGCATTTATTTCTCATCATTATTTCAGTTAATTAAAAAGGTTTGCATGTGACTCTGCAGCCCCAGACCTGCAGTGATTTAGACTACTGACAATAGCAACTCCACCTGAAAAAAATGCCGAGGTAAGGCTTTTTGCAAAGGTTGTGGTGTTGTCTGAGCTCTTTTTGCTTACAAGTCCTTGGTAGACCTTGGACTCTGCTGAGAGCAGAGCCGGGCAGGAGCGGAGGGCTGCCTCTTCCCCCTCGAAACCTGCGGTTGCTCCCAGGGCCGGGCCCCCCCAGCTCTCCCACGGGCTGCCGCCACAGATCCAGCCGCATCCAGGTAACGTCGTGCGGTATGCTGACTGGGAGAATTTTTTCCAGGAGAGCTGTTGAATTCGCCCTCTCCTCGCAGTGCCTGCTTCTTGTGATGGTGCAGGCTGCTGCCCTCTGCTTCTCCACCCAGGTCAGGAGGGAGCTGTGGTTCTGAGGATGTGGTTATTTTCTCTGTTTTATTTCCTCTCCGGAGATACTCTTCCCACTAATCTAAACTGATTCCTTCTCCTAATTTTCCTAGGAGGTTTTCTGCTTTTTTTGGTTTTGTTCTGCTATAGTTAGAATCACCTAAAAATAATAGGAAAAAAGGCTTCATGGCAAGCAAATGGTGTCCTCCCGAAACTCTTTTACTTAAGGCAGACTCCTTTTTTTTTTTTTTTTTACTACATCAGCTTTTGTCTCACTAAGATTTTTTTTTTTAATAAAGTTTGATATTTTCCAATGCATTTAATATGCTGTCTACAAGCATTTAGCCTTATCAGCTGCTCCTTTTTATTTCGTCTTAATAAGCCTCCCCATTCATATGACTGACTTGTTTTTGAAATTAAGCAGTACTCCCAGGGATACTTTTCCCCCACTTCTGTGCTCCTGCAGGGACGTCGAGTCCACTTATGCCACGGTTATTGTCCCAGGGTGACTGAGGAACATTTAGAGCCAGACCTGTTCACTCAGGACCGAGCCAAGAGCTGATACTGTTGGTAAACCACAGGGTACTACTTTTTTTTGAAAGCGCAGCTTGCAGGCCGGTAGATTTTCTCTTCAATAATAAGCAGTGACCCAAGTGATTCATTTCCCCCCCTGCTAAGACGTTTTGGTAGGATTCTGTGTACACCAGCCCTGCTTCATCACCTACTTCACACAGTCATTTCTGCTACTCTGCCTTGAGGTCAGGTATGGCTTTTATGCTAACTTCATGCAGGCCAGAATACCCAGACGTAGCGTGTTTCTCAGTAATGCCCACAGACCACAGTGTCTATTCTATCCAGGCACGCAATTTCACAGGCGTTTTGCAGTACCAAAGACTTGCCTTGGGACTTTTTGAAAAAAGCAATAATGCTATCTCCAAATATGTACATCTTAGTCTGAGAGTGAGCTGCTATTAAGATTTTCTTTTTCCATTTTTGCCATTCCTGAAAGTGAAATCTCTGCACTGAAACTTCCCTTTTGAAACTTCACTTTAAAAGCTACCCAATTTTTTTATCGCATCAAGCAGCAGCAAAGCTGCCAACTTTGAATCCCAGGGTACTGCCGGGTTTATTTCTGTGCCTGGTAATGGTGTAACTATATAGGTACCCTGTATCTCCCATCAGTTTTCTTCCTGTATCAGTTGCAAAGTCAGATGCTCTCATCCTTTATTCTCCTCTGTCCCGTTCTCCAGCAGCCTGCTGAATTTCAAGACAGCGGCACCTTACAGCAAAGGTGCTCCTGCATTTTATCTGCCACCCCCCTCAAAATGCTGCACCATCAGAAAGGCCCAGCTCTAAGGTACCAAAGTACGCCTAAAACCAGCAGGATGACATGCATCAGCTGAAAGCTCTGTTTGGCTCAGACTTTTGGGGGTTTTTGTTTGTTTGATTGTTCGTTTTCTGTCGGGAAAGTATTTTTTCCCTCTGCTGTAATAATTGAGGGAAGTACAGCGTTATGACTTAAGAAGGAAGGTCACAAACTGTTGCACTAAATACAAATCTGAGAGTGCCTAAAAGATATTACTGAGTGACATTTCCAGCGACTGTATTGGTGATAATGATACAGACAACTTTGGTGCTTAATAATTAATGTGTGGTACCGCTTGTTTCCTATGCCACGCTTTCCTTTTTAACAGTGCCCTGGCAGGTAGTATAGATACCTTAACTTTTAAGTGGAGTCTGATTTTTAAGAACATAGGAAGTTCAATGTCTGTTTTTGGTATTGGTAAACACTTACTTGCCATTTGTCTTAAGTTAAATATGCCTTTAAAGTGCCAGCTGTATTTTAAAGATGTTCTTACAGTTGTTTCAAGTCACATTTTGAATGCTACAAATGGAAAGAGATTATTCTCCCATGAATAAACTGTGTTAAAGATGGTGCCCTCAGGCTTATTTTTGCAAGGTCATTGCTGTGTGTGTGCGCGGACACGCACGTGTGCCCAGCCCCATTATTAATGCTGTGTAAAGTACATACAGTGTTGTCAGATACAGTATCGAGTTTCAGAACAAACTTTGGTGCTTAGTAGAGCAAACAGCTGAAAATTTTTGAACCTACGTAGGCTGAGCTGTATTGCAAGTGGAGGTCTCACTCCAGGCTGAGTAAAACCAAAACTAGGACATAGTTTTGTGGGTAAGATCAAGAGCAGCATCCTCCTGATTTTAATTTTTCATGGTTTTTTTTTAATCTCGCCTGTCTTATTGCAGACTTTCAGGGGAACGCTAAAATGAAAAATGTTTAAGAAGATGGACTGTGATGAAAGACTTTAGATAGAAAGTAAGAGACACTGATGGCAATTCTTCACTCATGTTTTGCTTTCACATTCTCTTTGTGCAGTAAAAATGAGATGCTGGGGAGCGGGAAGCTGCTTAGCTAGCCAGCGGCTTCAGGGAGTCTAAGGGAGATTTAGAAAACGATTACCTGACACAAGTAGGTATTCAGTGCATTCATTTCAGTACTGACAGTTTAGAGGAAACGCCTGTCTTTGAGGTGAGATCAGGGGAGCTACGCTGTGGGTTATAATTTACTCCCCGCAACAGAGCCACAGTCGAATAGTGATGTAGATTGGTGACGAATACGTTGCCGCTTTCACGCTAGGTTTTTGCTGCAGGTGAAATAAGTGGGGAGGAGGAGGAATGGGAAAAGCTGTTTCCAAATCAGAGGGAGAGCCAGGGATGTGGCATGCATCTCCCAGCCTGGGCAGCCAGCTCTGGCTTTTTAGGCGAGCACAAACCCTTAACAGCGCGCCTCTGCGGCGTCTCATTTCTTGGCTTCCCGATGCTGCCCCTGTGCCTTTTTAAGCTGGGCTCACGCTGAGCGGGCGCCCGTCCCCGCAGGCCGCCTGTGCAGCCCCTTGCTCTGCACGTTCCCCCCAGCCCCAGCCGCTCCCCCCCACTAAATGCGATGCCGGGGCAGCGCCTTCTCCCCAGCGGCTTAGGGCAGGTTTTGCCAGTCAAGCGGAACGAAAGAAAAGGGGATATAATTTTTTTTTTTTAATATCAGGCTGTCGGTGGTTTCAAAGAGTCCTTGTGGTCTGATACATGAATTCAGCGGGTTGAATGTTCCTTCTAACAGTTCTGCTGAATGAAGACAGGAATTTTTTTTTTTTAGATATTTAATAAGATATTTTTTTCAAATCAGTACAAAAATTTTAAATACAAAATTATTTGCTTTTGACATATCTCATATATTCTGGGAACACACTGAAGTCACCAATGCCTGGTAAACTGTCCATCCGTTCCTGCCACCGTTCCATAAAATTTCTGAGATAAAGCACCACATTATATCACTGGAGTCCTTAGTCAATGTTAGACTGCATTAAACTCTGCATTTAAATAATGGTAATGCCAGTTAAATCCAATCTTAGTTCTGCATGAAAAATCTAGTTCATTTTTGAATCAAAAGCGGTAGCATTAGCTAAAGACATTGAAGAAGTGATGAGTATTTAGCTCTTTCAACTAGCATTAACAGTGTGTGATGTGCAGCAATGTACAGGGAACCACAGCAAAGTACGCTGCCCTTTGGAAACGAGTACTTTGGAGGTGAGATTAGCACCACTGATGAACAGACAGCTCTCGCAGAGAAGTTGATTTCCTCATGTACAGAAAAGATCGAGGCCTGCAGGTTCTCCTTGACAATTGGGAACATATAAATAAGGACTGGAAATTGGCTTTTATATAAAATGAAGTTCTCGGATAAATTTGCGTGATCAGTATTGCTGGTCAAGTTATCGGTTAATCTCAAACAACAAATTAGTTAATTAGCAAACAGAGCTACCTCTGCTTTGCCTAGTCATTGAAGAGCAAACTGATTTAATTTTCGCTGAGTGGCAGAATAGGCGTCTCTTCTGACAAGCCAAACAGATGCAGGTTCTCACCACGAGCACAGAAATCCCAGCGAATTTATACCGCCCTGCTGTATTGCCACACGTTGGCCAAAATGTCTCAATCGTGTAGCGCAAAGCAAAGGGGGAACCCTTCATTTTTGTCTCTGATCTACCTCATCTGCTTCATCTGTGCAAATGCAGATGGAGACTTTTTGAGTGCTGTGGCAATTGCAGGTGAACCCAGCGCCTGCTGGACTCAGAGGTGGCATTCTGGGTCCAATGACTGCTGGAGAAGGCTCGTGGGGAACAGTTACACCATCAATACTCCTTTTCTATCACAAATAAATTGGTCAGGGAAAAAGCACACCTGCAGGAATATTTTATATGGGGGGAAGGGAAATAGAGGTCTCCGGCTAAGAGAACCTTTGCTCTTCAGGCAGACCTGCTGTCAAAAAACCATAAAAACCCCCACCCAAACAAATAAAAAGCCACTCAAATTTCTCCGTATCACTTGAGACAGACCTACTCTGGTTTAACTCACTGGTTTTCATCTTGTAACAATGATCAATGCAGCAGTCAAATATGCAACAGGAGTGAGTGACGTACACTGATTTGAACCTTAGTAACTGAATTAATGTGAATGAAATGAAGTAAGCATGGCATCACAGAAATATATAATGTACAGCTAATATGTCCCCCTTGGGTGCAAAACAACTGTTTATGAACCTGATACACATCTTTAGATATGTTCACCACGCCTTTTTTTTTTTTTTTTTTATAACTAGCTGTGCATAATGTTAAACTTTTTTTTTTTTTTTGTACAAGATGGTCTGAAACGGTCATAAAATGCATCTTTCATGGTATAAAAGTTTGAAGCAGAGAAGAAAGGTTTTGATTTTGTGTGTGTGTGTGTGTGTGTGTCTGGCTTTTGTTTTACATGGGATACAATAAATATCCTGAAAAAGACGAATGGACATACTGCCCGGCATAGAGTCCTGCCGCCTGCTCGGATGGCATTTGAACGTAAACCTTGTCTCCGTGCATCAGCTGGACGACAGCGCTGCCCGAAGCCTGGTCCAGGAAGCCCTTCTTGTACTCGTCGTAGGTGTACATCAGCGGCTCGTTGTTCTTGAACAACGCCACCCAGACGCTGGCCCCTTTACAGTGGACGTGGTAGGCGAAGTAGTAGACGCCGGGGATCTCGCAGGTAAAGATCCCCGTCTGGGGGTTGTAGTTCTGCCGGCCGTTGTAGAGGAGCTTGTCGAACTTCACGGGCACCCCGACCCGGGGGAAGGGGGTGAGGAGCTCCGCCGTGAATGCGGGCATC